CCTGACTCTTGCGCTATGATACGCGTCGCCTATGACACCCCTCGGAATTTCCCACCTTGCTCCCCCTTATGTTCTGGCTGCCCGTTTTGGATCCATCAGTCGCCTGATGATCGTAGAGATACGTGAAACTCGGAGTTGTGACAAAGCTTCCAAACTCTCTCTTGTGTACAAGGCTCTGCCCTACATGGGCATTGAGCACTCTTCGGACAGTGAAGCACACCACTTGACTATCCATGTAATGATGTATGGTGCTTTTGATTTCTTCCGTTTTTGTCTTTGGTGCGTTACCAGCATGGCGATGCTGAGACCTTTTGGTCAGTGGAGTGCCTGTACTGTGTGTGGCCCTGAAGCCTCACCAGCACTGCTACTACAGCATCATGTGACTGTGGCGACCACCATTCAATGTCTTGTCCTCCTCAAACCGTATCCCCAACTCTCTCTCTCTCTCTCTCTCTCTCTCTCTCTCTCTCTCTCTCTCTCTCTCTCTCTCTCTCTCTCTCTCTCTCTCTCTCTCTCTCTCTCTCTCTCTCTCTCTCTCTCTCTCTCTCTCTCTCTCTCTCTCTCTCTCTCTCTCTCTCTCTCTCTCTCTCTCTCTCTCTCTCTCTCTCTTTAAATAGCTTTCTTTTTATCTGTCTTGTCTTACTCTTTTTCTTTGTCAGCTTTCCTGGTGGTTACGTGCTTTTCAAGTAAATAAATAAAAAATAAATAAAAAGTACAGTAGGTCTACCGGTACTATAGCGCTGGTGGTTTGACATTTTGCATTCGGAGTCTAGTGAGCCACCACTTTTGAGTTTTTTTTTGCATTTCAAAGTGCTGCTAACCCTGAGAAAATAAGGTACACTGTAACAGGAATAGTGAAGAAATGGTTTAAAAAATCGGAATGCGATAAAAGGAATATTGAACTAATACTTACTCATTGGTGGCACCGTGCTTCTCGATACATGCACTCAAGTAAAGCTCAGTTCTAGCAGAAACCAGGTTGTAAGGGCTGGTACCGGCGCCCTGGGCCTCCTCGCACAGTATTCCATACTCACCGCCATTCGTCTCCTCTACTACATGTGTACTGGCAGTGTGTTTTTTTGTTTGTTTTTTTGTTTTGTTTTTACTGAATACCACAGTACCATCAGATGCTGCACAGCGGAGGCGGTGGCATATTGGATGGAAGTGGGGGCGGGGCAAAAGTAACTCCTCCGACCAAGGCAAAGGTCTCGGAATCATCGTTACTCCTGTGCGCCGATACATAGGAGAAAAGAAACATGTGCATCCAAGAGGGAAGCACCGGCTTTGCAAACGATAATGGGGAGAATTTGAGATTGAGATAGGACAAAACAATAGTAAAAGCAGTGCACCGCGTAGGAAGATGGAGAGAACTGATAATCGGATGTTAAGGCTGAGCGAAGGGGATCAAAGAGGGGTAGAAGGGAGCTGGAGTGCGGTCAGTATAATTAGGCTGGTGTGTTGGCTGTGTGAAGACTTTCAACTTTCAAGGAGTCACTCGTCACCAAACTAGCCAAACTAGTAGCCTGGACTGGCTGAGCCTAGCATGCACATACATACTTCTGGGAGTATACAGAAGTGACACACACACACACACACACACACACACACACACACACACACACACACACACACACACACACACACACACACACACACACACACACATGCACCTGCTTTACAAAAAAATCCTTTCCAATCTAAAATCTGCACAATACGGAACATTTTCTTCAGTGTTTGGAGCACAATTCTTCCAGCATGCTCCAACAACACACGAAAAGAAGTACTAGTAATCATTTGGTGTGAAAAGAAGAAAAGAAAATAACAGCAATGTTGATTCAGCTTGTTTAAACGAGAGAGCTTGGAAGCTCAGGGCCCTACGCTATGCTTTTTTGCCTTGATGACCTAGACAAAAAAGGATAGGGATGTTATAAATTCTTTAAAAAAATCCTTTTTTTTAAAGACATAACCTGGGATTCGAAACCGCACGATTGCGCGCCCTGCATGCATCCCCCGATACACTTCGCATACATACTAATTCTTCCAAGTTGCTTCACGTTATGATCTTGCATTTGAAAGCCCTATTTGAATATGCATTGTGGCCAGCCGTCTTTGATGGTACGGTACGGGATAGGTACGGGACAGGTACGATCGAGGGTAATCCGACACCGTCTACCGCCTTGATGACGGCAAAAAAAGAATAGGGATGTTATACATTTTTTCAATTCTCCTATTTTTTTCAGGCATATCCTGGGATTCGAACCCGCACTATCGCCCTACATGCATTCCCCCATACACTTCGCATTCATACCCATTCTTCCAAGTTGCTTCACGTTATGATCTTGCGTTTGAAAGCCCTATTTGAATATTGCGGCCAGCTGTATGTGGCCAGCTGTATGTGGCCAGCTGTATGTGGCCAGCTGTGTTTGATGGTACGGTACGGTACGGGACAGTTACGGGATAGCGCCAGGCGTGACACAAACACACAAACAAACAAACAAACAAACACACAAATACCAAATTAAAGCTGTGTGGACCCTGGCTAGCGCCAGATGTTACTGAAGTAACGTCTTCTGCATAGCTACGGGAATAAAATAATACTTCATCAAAAGCTCGAAGTACAGTGCAATAAAAAATAAATAAAAAAGGACATAACGACATAGCGTTAAAACTGCACCAAATGATATATTACGAAGTAGTGGTTGCGACTTCGGCGATGATGATTTGTAAGAAAGGGTTTGCTCCCCACACCGGAGCTCGCGCTATTCCGCCGATATTACTTGACACTTGACTGACTCACGACTGCCATCCAGAGCACACGAGAAGTCCATCGAACCTTCGACTCGGCAAACCTGCAAGAAAGCACCACTCCCTGCTCAATACACAGTGTTTCGGGGAATTCACCCCTCATCAGTTGAGCTTGAGTAGGCTGAGGAAGATTGTGCCTGAAGAGCACCACTTATATAGTGCTCTCCAGGTACAAACATCACCAGGGATACAAACTTACAGAGACGCTCCGCTTCCAGCGCGATAAACACCTCGTGAACACCAGATAGCAGCGTGAGTCAGTGTCGCTCCTGGACGGTGAGACCAGACGTTGAGGACCCTCGGTCATTCGCAACGCTGTCACCTCCAAACCAACTAGTCGCAAGCCCGCGCTGGGCACAACAGTACGAAGTAGTGGTTGCGACTTCGGCGATGATGATTTGTAAGAAAGGGTTTGCTCCCCACACCGGAGCTCGCGCTATTCCGCCGATATTACTTGACACTTGACTGACTCACGACTGCCATCCAGAGCACACGAGAAGTCCATCGAACCTTCGACTCGGCAAACCTGCAAGAAAGCACCACTCCCTGCTCAATACACAGTGTTTCGGGGAATTCACCCCTCATCAGTTGAGCTTGAGTAGGCTGAGGAAGATTGTGCCTGAAGAGCACCACTTATATAGTGCTCTCCAGGTACAAACATCACCAGGGATACAAACTTACAGAGACGCTCCGCTTCCAGCGCGATAAACACCTCGTGAACACCAGATAGCAGCGTGAGTCAGTGTCGCTCCTGGACGGTGAGACCAGACGTTGAGGACCCTCGGTCATTCGCAACGCTGTCACCTCCAAACCAACTAGTCGCAAGCCCGCGCTGGGCACAACAGTACGAAGTAGTGGTTGCGACTTCGGCGATGATGATTTGTAAGAAAGGGTTTGCTCCCCACACCGGAGCTCGCGCTATTCCGCCGATATTACTTGACACTTGACTGACTCACGACTGCCATCCAGAGCACACGAGAAGTCCATCGAACCTTCGACTCGGCAAACCTGCAAGAAAGCACCACTCCCTGCTCAATACACAGTGTTTCGGGGAATTCACCCCTCATCAGTTGAGCTTGAGTAGGCTGAGGAAGATTGTGCCTGAAGAGCACCACTTATATAGTGCTCTCCAGGTACAAACATCACCAGGGATACAAACTTACAGAGACGCTCCGCTTCCAGCGCGATAAACACCTCGTGAACACCAGATAGCAGCGTGAGTCAGTGTCGCTCCTGGACGGTGAGACCAGACGTTGAGGACCCTCGGTCATTCGCAACGCTGTCACCTCCAAACCAACTAGTCGCAAGCCCGCGCTGGGCACAACAGTACGAAGTAGTGGTTGCGACTTCGGCGATGATGATTTGTAAGAAAGGGTTTGCTCCCCACACCGGAGCTCGCGCTATTCCGCCGATATTACTTGACACTTGACTGACTCACGACTGCCATCCAGAGCACACGAGAAGTCCATCGAACCTTCGACTCGGCAAACCTGCAAGAAAGCACCACTCCCTGCTCAATACTGATGAGGGGTGAATTCCCCGAAACACTGTGTATTGAGCAGGGAGTGGTGCTTTCTTGCAGGTTTGCCGAGTCGAAGGTTCGATGGACTTCTCGTGTGCTCTGGATGGCAGTCGTGAGTCAGTCAAGTGTCAAGTAATATCGGCGGAATAGCGCGAGCTCCGGTGTGGGGAGCAAACCCTTTCTTACAAATCATCATCGCCGAAGTCGCAACCACTACTTCGTACTGTTGTGCCCAGCGCGGGCTTGCGACTAGTTGGTTTGGAGGTGACAGCGTTGCGAATGACCGAGGGTCCTCAACGTCTGGTCTCACCGTCCAGGAGCGACACTGACTCACGCTGCTATCTGGTGTTCACGAGGTGTTTATCGCGCTGGAAGCGGAGCGTCTCTGTAAGTTTGTATCCCTGGTGATGTTTGTACCTGGAGAGCACTATATAAGTGGTGCTCTTCAGGCACAATCTTCCTCAGCCTACTCAAGCTCAACTGATGAGGGGTGAATTCCCCGAAACACTGTGTATTGAGCAGGGAGTGGTGCTTTCTTGCAGGTTTGCCGAGTCGAAGGTTCGATGGACTTCTCGTGTGCTCTGGATGGCAGTCGTGAGTCAGTCAAGTGTCAAGTAATATCGGCGGAATAGCGCGAGCTCCGGTGTGGGGAGCAAACCCTTTCTTACAAATGATATATTCAACTAATAATCTACAAAGAGCGTAGTCCTCCGGTTCCATAGAGTGCTCGACGTTCACAAGAGCAGAGCCTCTTCAAAAGAAGTAAATCACACGACTCGTGACACGAGTCACAGAGCACCATTTGTCTGGTTTAAAAGCTGTTACTAAGTCGCAACCACTATTTCGTTACTAATATTAGTAGTTGTATGCCATGATCATGGAAACCCAATTGTGCATCTCCTTCACAATGACATTTGGCTAGTTCTCAAATTGTGCTGTCAGGATAGAAGCCGGAATCACTGAAAATTCAACACAGTATTTAGAAGCGCGCACAGACTGTAGGGTGATCCTCTCGAACTCGGAAGGTGTACTTGGGCTGGATTTCAGAACAAGTGGGTGCGGGATAATGTGTGGCGAAGAGTCCAAGGAACAATTCCCACAATCCAGGTATTTTGTGACTATTTTCACCCGTGTGAAAAACACATCCTCTTGGAACAAGTTGGCACCATCACGACTGTAGACTATAAGCCACAGCAATGTGCTGGACAAAAGGCTTCACTAATCAGCCCAAGTTAGTCAGGGTAAGGGGCAGTGGTGAAGGGCAGTTCTAAGTTCCTCACAGTCTGGATGTAATGGGTTGGGGGCCATCATGATATAACCCAGAACCAAGCAAGTAGTGGAGGCAATGTTTTGCAACTAAGTCTGGCTGCTCGCACACCATCAAGTGTCCAGTTCCCGGACAGACAATCGGATGCTTTAGACCGGGCAAAAGCGATGCAAGTTGTACATACAACTCTGCAGTACAGCTACCTCCCCTTTCGGCCATCAAATCCAAGTTCCTAGACAGCTCACCATAGGCAATTGCATACTTGCAAGTCTGTTCTGAAAGTCTGAGGTCGCTGAAGTTAGACGGTGGAAAAGCAAATACATCAGCTTCGACGAGAGGATTGCATTTCAGCAGCCACTCACCCGAATCCGGATCTTGCTTAAGACCGGATGTCAAATACCGCTCAAGAACATCCGGACTCCAAGTGGAGAATGCCCTCCGCGACTGAAAATACCGCCGGGCGGATTCAATATCTGGCCAGCCGTTTTTCTGCTGACGAGCTTTGACAGCCAACGGAAACTCATGCAGATCAACCGCTGCTGGATCAACTGCATGAGGAATGAAGATAGGTTCAAAGGCCAGTATGCGGCTGAACGTACCGGGCTGCTGTGCCTCAAGTCTCATGAGCGCTGCTGCACCGAACGAATGTGCCAGGGCCATGACTGGTGCATGCCCATTGGCATACTGTGCCAGCACAATGTGTGCTGCCTCCACTGTCATTCCCACCCAGTCAGCCACTGGCACGGACTGCGGCAGAGCACTGTCTCCGTGGCCGGGCAAGTCAAACGCCACAAAGTCGACCGCCGCTGCCTCTGGTAGCCGCCTCTCCACCTCCTTCACCACCGGCTGCCATATCTCCTGCCGGGCATATCACAGTGCACCCAACACAGCATATACACACAATGCATACACACAGTATAAACACAGTTCAAATACAAAAACACACACACACACCGATCTGTACATACTAGTAACAAGCAAGCATTCATTCAGTGCCCGTATAATATTATTATTAGGGCTGAGTCGGGTAGCATTTTCTTCGGGTATCGGGTTCGGGTAGTTTTCCACGGGTAGCACGGGTACCCGATTGGGTAATGTTTATTATTATTATTATTATTAGACACAATCTCATAGCATGTGACAAGCATAGCTAATGCAGGGACAGAATCCCCTGAGACAAGGGCGTTGAGCCAGCCACGGCAATAGTAAGCTAGGAAAACAAAGCAAATATTAATTAAAGCAAAAACGAGTGGAAAATTATTCCATGGTAACACCACAATGCACCCCTTCCCTTACACACTGGGTAGACATGCGGAGTGTTACATGAATTTGTACACGTGCACTGTACATGTCATCTGCGACTTCGGGTTTTCGGGTACTATTCTGTACCCATCTACCTGAGGTCTTCATGGGTAGCACGGGTACCCGACTACCCGTGCACACCACTAATTATTAAAGGCTATTCTTTTTCTCAGTTGAAAACAATACTGTGCCGGATTCGTTCTAAATGATACTTGGATTCGCCGCAATGAAGTCACACATGAAACCGTGGTATGCATATTACTGTGAGAAACTTTTGACAGAACGAGGGTGAGTCGGAGTATAATCCCTCCGCTCTGTCCCATTCGGCGTGGTTAGCAAGGGAAACGATTGCAAAACTAATCTGTAACCATTCGCGCAGCTGCCTCTGTATGGGTGGATGCCCATAGACTTAGAAGCTAAACGTACAAATCATGCAGGACTGACGGTGCATGCTGCTATAGTCTGTTTCAAAAAGATTTACAATCAGGTTTGGGTCTTAAAAAGTATGAAGATAATGGAAATTTGGACAACAAAGTACATAGAATGGCTTGTTAGGACACGGCAAATTGTTCTGTGAAGGTTTCGGAACAATTGGAACAACCGTTAAGGAGTTAGAATTTCGGCCAGGTTTCCGGCCTTTTCCCATGGTTTACAATTTGCCCAGGAAACCAGTATCGATTTTTTATCAAAACCCACGATTTATCCTTTCCTTTTTGGCCTTGTGGTTATGAATGCTGTCTGCTGACCATGAAGTTGTGAGTTCAAATCCCAACCTATCCTCAAGTCAAACTTTTTTTTCATTGTTTTGGTGATCAAGCTGGTACAAGACAAAGAAGATGGCTGCACCAAACGACTTGTTGTTGGAGCTCGCGCTTCCTGCCGAACTGACTGACACTTGACTGGCTCACGCCATGTGAACACACCCACAACACTGCAATGGTGTGAGTGAATTATAATGGAAGTCATCGCGCTGTAGCTTTTTGATATTTATTTTAGTATTTCAAGATCGCCAATTTATTTGAATTTAGCAGTCAACGCCGTCTTCTATCAGCACGGAGCCCTACACATATGTACAAATCATGCAGGACTGACGGTGCATGCTGCTAGGCACGGAGCCCTACACATATGTACAAATCATGCAGGACTGACGGTGCATGCTGCTAGGCACGGAGCCCTACACATACGTACAGTAAAACCTGGTGTAAGCGACCTCTGGTTTGCGGCGCGACCAGCACACAGTGACCAAAACTAGCCAAAACTAGTGCCATCTTGGCTGGCAGGGTTGACTGGAATATGGTTGAAGTGCGTTTGGAAGCAAGTGCATGTAACGTATTTTCCAGAGTATAGTGCGCACTGTAAATGTGCTATTTTAGGCCCTAAATCGCAGGTGCGCACTATGCTCCGAATGTGAAATGCATGTACTTCAATGAAGATTGAAGTGCGCACCCCCAATGAAGATTGGGGGTGCGCGTTATACAAAGGTGCGCACTATACTCCGAAAAATACGGTATACAGTATAGTCAACAGAAGTGACAAGTGATAGTGCAGGATGCTCTACAGTCATGCACTAAACTTGAGTGAGGTGTGTGTTGCCTGCATGAAAGTATGCAATGCTCCACACCTAGTACCTGTCAATATGAGTACAATCATGTATGTACATGGAAGTACAATCTGTCAATGGGCGCTTTCGATTACACGCATTTCGGTCAATTCTAGAATTAGTTATTGTTGATGCCCAGTTCGATTACACAAAAAGTGACAAATTCCGTCGTTAGAATTGATTTTATCAAATTCCGTCAAATCCATCAATTCTGAAGAGAGGGCGGAATTTCTCTAATTCTGGCGCCAGAATTGCACAGTCGGTGTGTTACCGGTCTGGTCATGCATGACTCAAGTCAAGGAAGAGCCTCCCTGATGGCCGGTGTGGCACGAAAGCAAGGCTACAACTGCTTATAGTTGCTACTTTTGTCTTCCCGAAAAGCTAATTGCCGCAGTTGAGTTTCCGCTGGGAGCTGATTATTAGACCAGATCATTGTGGGTGATCCTTTCGCACACGCGCTCAGCTTTATCGCAGCCCAATACTGTAGCCGACATGGAGCCTTCGCCGGGATGGACCGCCGCGAAGCTGGGTCGACTCACACGCGAGGGTGCACGTGATATCTTTTTTACGACCAATTTTGTTTGTGATATGCCATGAATAAAATGCGGTGTGAATTCCAGCCGTTCGTTTACATGGCCGGAATTCGTACATTTTGGTCATTCGAGAATTACAAAACCCAGTTCCAGAATTATGTAAACGTGAAATCGAAAGCACCAATCTCATGTACACCTACATCAGTACATGTATGACTGTACACGATCCGATATGCCACGAATGTATGGGATCTGGTTAAAGGGGAAGTTAAGGCAAAAATTAAAATTTCACCAGTTGCAGTCTTCGGGGTGCTGAGTCGAATGGTCGTGGTCCGAGGAAGCTGAGACGCTCCCTTCCTACTTGAATCCCAATCGAACTCGCGCACTTCCACTGAAACTGGGTGACTGCGCCCTACTAGATGGGGATTTGTATGCAAAATGTCACTAAAAGCGCCATTTCGTTCTTATAAAAGCACGGATGACCGCGATTGGCCCATAATTATGTCAGAGATCGATTTATCCGGGTTCGCATCGCAGTTTGCGAATCAAAATTCACTGGCTGCGATTCGCTTTTCGTTTTTCATCGCCCAAAACTGCGATGCACTGGCTGTACATACCGGTATGTACAAAGACCATTCCAACCAACTGGCCTTTCCTGCTCAGTCCTTGCGCGGTTGCGGATCGCACTCTGCTCGATTTTGGACACTGCACTATGTAGTACTACTAGTACTGTAGCACGGGTTGTACAAGACTGCACAATCTGCAGTCTTTTGAAGTTTTGTACACGGCGGCGACTTTCCTCGAAGTTCTCCTTTCTTCTTTCACGGTCAAGCTCAATTCAGTTTGTTTCTGTTCGACAAGACACAGTTGAAGTAGATGGTTCTTAGTCTCATGTAGCCAACATGCCAGTGAATCTGATCACTGTCCAGAAGCGGGAAAAAGAACTGGAAGCGCCAGGAGTGTCAATTCGTTTCGATGAAGAAAAGGAGAAAAGCGAAAATTCTGTGCGCTTTGAACGAAGTGTCACGATCGTTTGGGCGCTTTCCTGAGCTTTCTTTGTCGAAGGAATCAGTGGAACTGCCCTGTTTAATTAAGTACATTGTGTTGTGAAGAACTCGAAGTCGGATGAACGCTGACCATGTAACGAACCCAAGCGAAAACCCTAACCTAAAATATTCAGGTCAACCGTTCGCTTGGAAAAGCAAATAACAACTGAAGCTCTTGTCTTCTTCTGTACAAAATCCTGCTATTTTTCAGATATACATGTAAACGTTTGATGAAGGAAAACTGCTAATCAATACTGGGAGTTGCTAGTCAATTGTAAAACTGTGTAGCAGTCACTGCTATGCAAAAAAATTAAAGTAAATCGATCCCTGTATGTTGTAGTCTTTTGGACGCTGAGTCGACTGGTTTTGGTCCGAAAAGGCTGCGATGCAGCGTTCCTCCTTTATTCCCAATCGAACATGGTTGAACAAGCGGTCACGTGCTCCTGGGTGCCCAAATCACCTGGTCACCGCGCCAGCAGGCGACAACTTTCACACCAAGGTTCAACTCGAGTTCAACTCGAGTGACAGGACTGCACCCAAAAATGGTCAAACGGCTAGTAAGTTGTACCCTGCAGGCACGGTGACCAGGTGACTGGCGTACGCAGGAGCATGTGACCGCTTGTTCAACCATGTTCGATTGGGAATAAAGGAGGAACGCTGCATCGCAGCCTTTTCGCACCAAAACCAATCGACTCAGCGTCCAAAAGACTACAACATATGGGCCAATCGCGGTCATCCGTGCTTTTATAAGAACGAAATGGCGCTTTTAGTGACATTTTGCATACAAATCCCCATCTAGTAGGGCGCAGTCACCCAGTTTCGGTGGAAGTGCGCGAGTTCGATTGGGATTCAAGTAGGAAGGGAGCGTCTCAGCTTCCTCGGACCACGACCATTCGACTCAGCACCACGAAGACTACAACTGGTGAAATTTTAATTTTTGCCTCAACTTCCCCTTTAAAGGGGAAGTATACCCTAAAATCAAATTTTCACCAGTTGTAGTCTTCTGGGTGCTGAGTCGAATGGTCTTGGTCCGAGGAAGCTGCGACGCTCCCTTCCTACTTGAATCCCAATCGAACTCGCGCACTTCCACCGAAACTGGGTGACTGCGCCCTACTAGATGGGGATTTGTATGCAAAATGTCACTAAAAGCGCCATTTCGTTCTTATAAAAGCACGGATGACCGCGATTGGCCCATAATTATGTTGTAGTCTTTTGGACGCTGAGTCGACTGGTTTTGGTCCGAAAAGGCTGCGATGCAGCGTTCCTCCTTTATTCCCAATCGAACATGGTTGAACAAGCGGTCACGTGCTCCTGGTTGCCCAAATCACCTGGTCACCGCGCCAGCAGGCGACAACTTTCACACCAAGGTTCAACTCGAGTTCAACTCGAGTGTCAGGACTGCACCCAAAAAAGGTCAAACAGGCTAGTAAGTTGTACCCTGCAGGCACGGTGACCAGGTGACTGGTGTACGCAGGAGCACGTGACCGCTTGTTCAACCATGTTCGATTGGGAATAAAGGAGGAACGCTGCATCGCAGCCTTTTCGGACCAAAACCAGTCGACTCAGCGTCCAAAAGACTACAACATATGGGCCAATGGCGGTCATCCGTGCTTTTATAAGAACGAAATGGCGCTTTTAGTGACATTTTGCATACAAATCCCCATCTAGTAGGGCGCAGTCACCCAGTTTCGGTGGAAGTGCGCGAGTTCGATTGGGAATAAAGGAGGAAGGGAGCGTCTCAGCTTCCTCGGACCAAGACCATTCGACTCAGCACCCCGAAGACTACAACTGGTGAAAATTTGATTTTAGGGTATACTTCCCCTTTAACTTATGGGCTCCCTGCTGCATGCTAGACATAGATAGTGACCATGGTGACCAGCACACTCGGATCGTACTCTCTCACCTTGCAAAACTTCACACCGTGCGCAAGAACAATCAGAGGAGTCAGAGGAGCGCTGTTGCTACTCAGCCCGGAGGTCTGCGCCTGCTGGAGCCCTAATCTCCACAATTTTGTAGCAACGGCCATTCCCCAGGGCCACTGGCTACGACGCCTCACCCAGCAAACAGGACCGTTCTACTCAGTGTAGCACAGCCTGCTGCTGATTTTCGATGGTCAAATTTGGGTTTTCAGGTCGCAATCTAAACGTTTACTAGTAGTACAGCCAAACCAATAGGTGGTCTATAACTAAGTAATTACTAGCGTGACAGTGTTCACACTCAGCTACAGTAATAAGTAGCCAGGTAACTAATTACTTCAATGCTCAGCCTCAATCTAGCTTCAATGCCAATAATTAGGCCAAAACAAAAAATAGGCTTGTTTCCGGTCGGCAACACCTCAAAAAGGAGACTCGGTCGGCCGGAATGAAACTTTTTTTTGATACTTTTTTGGTTCCTCAATCGTTGTGGTATTGATGGACAAGAGCACCTAGTACCTACACAATCATGTACATTGTACATAGTTATATCATGGCAAGGATCAATGTCAAAGTATTAGTTGACTGACTCACTGTTCTTGTACAGCATGAGGTGTATTCCTGTTCTCGTACATCCTGAGAAATCAAGCAAACAGTTCGAGTCCTTCCAGCTCCGTTATTCTAGCTCGTATCGACCCCCCAGGTTTTCGAGCCGACATCTGAGAATCTCTGCTACCTTGTAGGTGTTTCGATTGTGGAATTCGGTTGAGATTTGACTGAGTTATGACTCGTTGAGTGCTAGTGCACTTGCATCACAGGCGATGCGCCGTTTTGCGAAAAGTCGACGTTTAGAGGTAGTTTTATTATCCCAAATGCCAAAGCGCGGGAAAATTCAAATGCAAACAGCTGCATTTTGGAGACGTATTTTTTATCGACAGTCGGGCAGTGAATGCCAATTTTCTCAAGAAGAAGAGTATTCAGAGGCATTCTTGTGCATTTTCCGTTGATACTATACGTGTGCCCTAGTGTTTGCATGAGCGAGGGTGGTGGTTTTGCTAAACCGTTCGCATGGCGGGCGGGTTTGTAAGAAGAAAGGCTTCAGCCATTGAGGAGCGACGAGAAACCTGTCATTTCGTGCCATTTGAGTTAGCAGTAGCACCGGACAATACTGACACATGTCTGCGGCAGCAAACATAGTGTACTAACGGATCAAAAACAGCCACAATGTGTGTCACTGCGGAAACAGGCTGTATACAGGTGCATTTGCAAAGCTGCTGATATTCTGTACAAAATGAGCTGACCGGGATAATAAAAAAGGGCTTTTTTTCGCTTTGGCGCATCGACTGATCAGTCTTGCATACATGGCATTGCCATCGTTTGTATACATTTGGGACCAAAAAAAAGTTTCAGAATTATTTGGGAAAAAGTGGCCCGGTCGGATCGGGCGACCGGAAACAAGGTCATTATTAAATTTTGTTTTGCCAAACTAATACTTTTGGCCTTATTTATTATTTTCAGAGTCGCCAAAAACTATTTTAAACTTTCAAAAGAACGTTTCTCTTCATGAAAAAAGGACGCGAGAGGCACGCGCTCCACGCGTAGCTAGCTACGAGCATGCTACGTAGACTCTACGTCACGTGGCACGTGCATCCCCCTACTCCCTAGGCCCTGGTGCAGACCATACCGCTGGCCATATACGATAGCAAAGATCATGACGATTGTCACGGGAGAAAAAGGCCCAAGAAAGGGCACGATGACCATGACCCATGGTCCGGGCCTCCGGGGCCGTCCAGTGAGTGCAGTAGTAACAAGAGTACAACCCCCCCCCCCCAGGGAGTTATAAATTTATACTCTTGGTAGTAGCATGACTGTATGCTGACTTATAGTGTACCTGCATAGCTGCATGGTGTCACAGTACACCTGGCTTGGTTTATCCCAGAAGCCGGGGCCAAAGAAGCGTCTACACTCGCTACCGGTATCCCCCCCCCCCCCCCGTAACTAAGCAGGGCCATAGCACCAGGCTAGGTGCCGGCTCAGCGATATGAGATGACAGTCCGACAGTCCGGCGGAAATGACCGTTCATGATTGACGAAACGCCCGGCTGTTTTTCACCACTCACTACACTCAGTACAGGTCACGACTGTCTAGCTGCCACATGCACAGCCTCCAGAACTCAAGATGAGGCGAGAGCCGATGCCACGCAGTCACTTGGCGGGTGCCGCAGTGTGCAGCCCTAGACCTGCAAACACTGGGGTCATGGTGAACCGATGCAGGGCGTGAACTGGATTCGCACGATCGGATGTCATCGAGCGGCACTGTAGCTACATCACCCGCAGTAGCAGAATCCAATCAGGTGTAACCTGACTACCAAGTACATAAGACCAAATGTTGGTCCCATTCCGTCCGGCAGTCCATCACAGTCAGATAGGTATGGCGACATGGTTCAGTACTTGAAGAACAGAACCTAACATTCTGAAAAGAGAGCTGTGCGGCGCCCCCGTGTTAATGTGGCATTACGTGATCCTAGCACAGGACTCAGGAGTCACCTGACTGTGACGTTATGCAGAAGTGCACCGGTGCAGCAATACAAGTCTGTGCGCAATTGAGCAAGGAGAGAGAGAGAGAGAGAGAGAGAGAGAGAGAGAGAGAGAGAGAGAGAGCATGACTGTGCTGTGCATGCATACATACGGGTGTATGCACGTTATGTGACTGTGTATGTGTGGGTGGGGGGGGGGGGGGGGGAGAGCGCATGTTTATAAAAAGTACAAGTACGATATATACAGTCATGAGTGTGCTGATGTATCTCTACACATAATCTGAGAGACCTGGCCTGGCCAGAAGAAGTGACGAATCCCGTTACCAAAACAGAGCAAGGCGTGTGGGCGGACAAATGTCATTGTTGCAAGTGACAGTAGTGCAGGCGCAGCACCGTGGACTGATGAATGTCACTGCCATGACAATCACAGAGCCCACCGTGAGTGGCGTGGACTGATGAATGTCACTGCCATGACAATCACAGAGCCCACCGTGAGTGGCGTGGAATTAAATTAAAGGCTATGCGTACCAGTGGTCACCGGCCGGTCGTATAACAGTTCATTGCGTATCAGCAGCATAATATTATTACCGTCCATTAGTATGTAGTCTAGAGCATTGTGAAGTAAGTTAGTTGAGAGCAACGTGTTGTAGAGTCATTCCCGGGCAAGACCGCAGTGACAAACCGGCACAGTCGGACCCCCGCCGCAGTGGCATCCTGAGGCACTACAGGAAGCAGAGTGTGTCAAAGTAGATGCGTGCAATGCTTGGCTCCAGCATGCACAGCTTCAGGAGCAGCTGGGCTTGGAAGAATGCTTTCCGGTGGTATTGTTGGGAGACATCACCACCATCCTGCATAATAAGCTTCCTGTAGTAATCCACACGCACGCGCGCGCGTGCGCGCACACACACACACACACACACACACGCACGCACGCCCGTCATAAAAGAGAAGTGAGAGTTCAACGGAGAACGAGGATGGGCGGGGTAGAGGAATATTTACTCTCTATTCCCCACCTCTTCAAGATGGATATTACAGTCCACTCAGAAAATGATCCGTGTTTCTAGTTGTCAAACGCTGGGAGGATGCACCCAGTGTGTGTTGAGAGTGATCAAATAGCACTGGCGGAGGCAAAACCTTTTACGTGGGGTTAATGCAGGTAAGCCTTGTTTACGCTTATCACATGCACAGACACTCACTTCTTCTTTTCCTCGTGTTCCTTATACTTAGCCATGTCCTTTTGTCTTGGGCATCTACATACGTCTACATCGCATGCACTGCTCGTGCACGTCTGCGCACACTGCACTGATTGGGGCACCCAATATGCCCGGGTGACCTGATGCGCCTGTCTGCGTTCCGCGTGCAGCATGCAAGTGTAAGATACACAGGGCTGTGCGCCTGTCCCAGCTCTGGGTCGCACTTACACTGCTCGGTGCAGCATGATGCAGGTATAAGGTACACGGGACTGTGCACCTGTCCCAGCCAGGCTCTGGGTTGCACTTACAGCTCAACAATCGAACATACACTGTATATCAAACCAGTTTGAGGCGCCCAAACTGTTTAGTTCTTCAACGGTTTTCTGGCGCTTCTTGCTCAGCAGAGGTGGTTGGCTTCTGAATTCTTTTCCCGCCACACCGACCTTACCATTATTTTTAACCAGGACCTCCACTACCGGTCCACTTTTCACAATATATACTGGGAGCTGGCACAACTCTTAATGGCAATGGTTTAACTCGTTCAATCACTCCGCGCTCTATGTTGAGCCAACACACGCGCTCTATGTTGAGGCACTCAATCTCTTGTGCTCAATGTTTAGCAACTCTCCCTTTCTCTCGTGCTCTATGTTGAGCCACTCTCTCTTCTCTCGCTCTCCCCTCTCTCTCCCTCCCTCCCTCCCTCCCTCCCTCCCTCCCTCCCTCTCCCTCCCTCCCTCTCCCCCCTCCTTCTCCCTCCCTCCCTCCCTCTCCCTCCCTCTCCCTCCCTCCCTCCCCCCTCCCTCCTCGGCTTTCCCTCCCTCTCCCTCCCCCTCCCTCCCTCCCTCCCTCCCCTCCTTCTCCCTCCCTCTCCCTCCCTCTCTCCCCTCTCCTCCCCTCCCCTCCACTCCCCTCCCCTCCCCTCAGAGGAAGGTTTGCTGAGGCAGGCCAGTCTCCCGTGTACCATGGTGTACTAGCACAACGGTGCCCACTTCCATTCTGCAAAGGAGAATTGTCGTGCTTCCGCATGCCAATGCAAAACCAAGGACTTCTTTCTCTCTCCACGTGGGCACTCAGCCAGCGCAGAGTCCAGACGTCAATGTCAACGACCTGACGTCTTTCAATAGCCTCCAGAGTAATGCGTCTCTGGTGGCTAAGGAAATTCGCCAGGAATTGCTGCCGGCAGTTTCGGACTGTTGGCGAGAATACCCGCAAAAAACGTTGGAGTCCATGTGCGTTTGGAGGTGTTGCACAGTTCTTACCATGGCATCCTGGAGAGTTGCGGCGGAAGTGACTACCCTCGACACCGTGGCTTGAGCACAGCACACAGGAGCGACATCGAGATTTCCAGAGCGATCACAGCTGCAACTGAATCCTCTCTAGTCGCATTTTCGTCTCACTACAGGGACCCTTCGTCTCCACAAGAAGCTGCGATCCCTGAATCAGAGGAGAGTGATTCAGACTAACTGAATCGGGCCTGCTGATGTCTCTAATGTCCTTGTTGAGCAATAAAAAGTTGTATTTTCGGGGAATCAATCATTATTTTTGATTGTAAAGTGTGAGTTATTTCAAGTAATTTGAAGTAAAAAACGCGCCGAGTTTCGCTTGTCGAAGGTAGTAGTACGTTCGTGAAATTTAGGGGGTTCCGTGGAACCCCTGGTACGCCGCCCCCCCCCCCCCCGATCCACCCTGAGGATTCCAGCACACCAGGTACCGCATGCATCAGAACACCATAACGACGGCACTCACGTGTGGTCCAGTAGCCGAGCCGCGATTGGCCGGTATTTTACCCGAGCGTAGTCAATATCTCGCTTGAAGAACAAAGCGTTCAACATCTCAAAGTTCTCGTTCTTGACTTGAGCCGGGTTGAAATTCTCACTCTGGTGCCCACTGACGCACAACTGATCTCTAATCACTTGATATGACTACACAGGGAGTAGAATGATAACAGCAAGCCACAACGGCAAGGACATGTATCTAAGGCATGCAATACGTACCGGTAGGCGTGTGGGACTATCTTCGCGCTCGTGACACACAACAGTAACAGCGGGCAATTTAGCCGGTACAATAGCACTTCATTACAACGTACCGCCGGCAGGGACATTACCATTGGTGCTGTACAGTTGAGGTACTACGCTGTATAACCAAGGTTAAATGACTGGAAAAGGAAATGAAGGGTCGACCTCAAAGAGTACTCAAACTTCAAAGTAATTCCAATGCAACGAGAAAAGTAACCGTTATATTATATCCAGGGTCCCTTTCAGTTTATACTGAAGTTTCGTCGTATTCCATATTAATAAACGCTTCCATGTCACTAATATCATGAACGAGCAGATCAGTCTTATTGCAGCCTGAACCAATCATATTCCTACTTGTCGAATCAAGAGTCCATAACCCCCCAGAGTGTGCAACTCGTGATCCTTCTCAGCACAAATCAGTGCCGCAACGAAATCCAAACTTCATACGTCATGTAGTGAGTAGCTATGACGAAATGGGAAGTTTGGCCCGGACCTACTTCGCCCGTTTGCCCAATTTGGGGTCTTCCTTTACGTAACGGCCAGGTGTTGTACGTAACACGCCTGGAAAGGCTCAAGTACACAAAGAATTATTTTAGAGTTGTCGAAGAGTTTTCTCTTTTGAGTGTCTCTCCGATAAGACAATGGCCACTGTTGAACCTAAAGCAAAGCGCTCCCCATGGTCGCCGGAGTGCAGTGTCTCTGTGGACGATATTCGTCAGTTTTTGCTCGATCTGGGCTCCTCATTTTCTTCTCTCGATTGTCGAGTGTTGGAAATTGTTAATTCTTCCAGCACCTGGATAGAGATTTATTGCTCGAAGTCTGTGCTTCTCACATGCAATGGAACACCCGTCAATTTGAACCGTCTGGTTGTGAACCCAGCAGGAACATTCACTTTCGAGTGTCTCTTTGGTGGGCGAACGGAGGAGGGAGAGTGTGCCGATGATTTGGATACGCTTACTCCGTATTTGGAAAGTATGCTACCTTCATCGGACATGAAGTTCTGCCCTGGGATAGCTGACTATGGGAAGCAATTCGAATCAGTACGTTTCCACACGAAGAATTTGAGGAAGTGGACGTTTCCTTTTGTTCGCTTTGACAGCGAACACTGTTCTGTATGGCACAAAGCAGGTCGAACTTTGCCACTTGAGGAGAAGAACTCCCCCATTGTACCATGCAAGGCTTGCAAAGCACTACAACATGACCTGGAGCGGCTGGTGAAAAGGGCAACTGAAAGAAACCAAGATGACAAGGCTGCAAGAGTGTCAGCATCCTCCACTGTGCCCCTGAAGTATCTGTCCCCTCACAGCCATTCGGTGCGTGCTCGCAATAAATCAGAGGTTCAGCGGATCACGAAGCGGCAGTTGGCTCGCTTGGAACAGTTTGACTTTGAACTATGTGAGGAACAGTCTTCGGAACTGTCTGCTGTATGCCAGGACATCAGTTCCAGCTTTGCACCAGACCTGGAGGGAATTTTTGAGGATGCTGGAGATGAGGCCGACATTTTACGGGCTGCTTGGCATTCCGATGTTGTGGCCCAGGAGCAGTTCAACAAGGACCAGAAGCAAAACGCGTCTGGGTCCAAGGGCAACAGGTGGAGTATGATAACTTACCGGCTTGCTCTGGCCGTCTTCACCCGCAGTCCCGCAGCCTATGAAGCCTTGAAGTCTTTTGGGATTTTGCAACTACCAAGTGTGCGCTCTTTGAAGCATTTTACGGGAGCACATTTGGATAACCCCGGGTGGTGTGAAGACAACATGGTCTTCCAACTGCAGAAGTACAGTAACTTCAAGAAGGTGGCCGAAGCTGAGCAGCGGTTAGTCCCCACCGGAGATGGTGTGATGGTCTTTGACGAGGTCAAAGTTGTTTCCAAAGTTCTGTGGAACTCAAAAAGTCAGCAGATATATGGTCTGTCCATGACCAGTGATGACCTGTCCAGCCTCCATGATGTATATACAGACTTGAAGGATGAGAAAACGGACCGCACTGAGTATATACTTCAGACCCTATGGCGGGACATGTCGGGAAGTTTTGATATCATTGGGCCCTACTACACCGCTGCCAAGACTCTGGATGCCAAGTTCACTTTGGCCTGTGTAATGGATACACTGCGCCTTTTCCATGCGTATGACTTCAAGGTCAGTGCTTTGGTCTGTGATGGTGCTTCAACGAACATGGCCATGATCAAGTCTATGATGGGAAAAAGTGGTTCATTCGGCATGCAAGAGGAGGAGGGTCCGAATCGACATGACATAAGGGCCTCGGTGGAACATCCAGTTTGGGCAAATCATCGACTATTTTTCATCATTTGCCCATCCCACCAGCTCAAAAACATGGTTAATGCTTTGAGCTCGTCGTCTCGTGGTGGAGCTAAGGCATTTGTCACCCAGGAAGGTGTTCCTTTTGGATGGCAGACTATTATAGACATGTACCAACGGGAGTGTGCCAAGATGAGAGCAGGCGAGCCTCGCGATGTGCCACATCTCCGTAAGAACTTTGTTTATAGGGACTCCTGGACTAAGTTGAATGTTTTGCCAGCCAAAATCATGCAGCAGGAGAAAGTTCTGACCGAACTTGCTGTGCACTGCCTTAGCCATCCTGCTGATGTAGCAAATGTTCAAGCATCCCGGCAGTACCTTCTTGCTTGCAGCAAACTATTTGAGGAAGGCACACTCTCCCATGTTCCAGTACGCAGCCCCACATGTACACCACTGCAGTCCATCAAGTCAGGGTATGCATTCTTTGAGTCATGGCTGAATGGACTTTTACTGGACCCAGCCTTCACTGCCTCCTCTCCAAAGCAGACCTCATTCTTGTCGTGGCAAACATGGGACCTCCTCAGGATAATGTGCTTTGGCTTCGTGGAATTCTGTGAGGACTATGTCACACGTCATCCAGGATACTACATTGTGCCAGTGAGAGTATCGGGCAGTGCTGTGGAGACATTGTTTTCCCAGCTTAAGCATTCTGCCGGAGGCCGTTTGTCTGCAGTTAATTACAGTACAGCCCGCGCATCTTTGGCTTTGCAGCGCAACCTTCATCCAGTCCATGCAAGTGGCAAGGACTACCGTGATGCTGCACTTGACTATGAAAGTGTGCCACTACGTAGGAAGAAGTAAGCACAGACAGGCATGTCACCTTTCAGGAGCTCGTGTTTTCTTATTGTTTGAGGTGGGTTTTCCCCTTCAATAGCCTCATTTTTCTTATTATTTGAGGTGGGTTCGTCCCCTTGCATAGCCTCATTTCTTCTTATTATTTGAGGTGGGTTTGTCCTCTTGAATAGCCTCATTTTTCCTATTATTTGAGGTGGGTTTGTCCCCTTGCATAGCCTCATTTCTTCTTATTGTTTGAGGTGGGTTTGTCCCCTTGAATCGGCCTCATTTTTCCTATTGTTTGAGGTGGGTTCGTCCCCTTGCATAGCCTGCATAGCGTCCCTCCTTGAGGGTTTGGCGTGGTTGTGTGCGGTACTCGCTGCCCTTTGAATGCTTGTCCAGTTGTTTCCACGAGGGGCCTATGATACGTGTGCACCACTGTATGTATTCCATATGTTTACAAGGATCATGGTGTTACAGCTTCGGCTTCATCTACGGCAAACCTCATTGTTTTGTGCCTGTTTTGTTGTGTGTTGTGATGGACTGTGCGAGAAAGGATGAGTCTGCCAATGACTTTCATCAAGAGTCCATAACCCCCTATAATACGGGGGTATGGACTCTTGTTCTCATCTGTTTCACAACAGTGTATGATGATTGTTTTGTCCCCTTGGCACATGGTAACGGTAGGTTCGCAGTGCTCTCTGATGTTTTTTTTTTAGTTGCTCAATAAGACTAAGAGTCACAAGCCAGCATAATGCACTCAGGTAATAAATAAGACACACTGTAGTATCCTCACACAACCAAATCATCTCAACTGCATGTATGTAGCTTGGCCTTTATGCAATGAGTGAATATTCGCACAAGAAGCACTGACCATCACTCCGCTTCATGATGAGTGGGCCAAATGGGAAGAATGTTCTCTTCTCCCAACACTACATCGAACTAACGTGCACAACCATGCCAAACCCTCAAGGAGGGACGCATGCAAAAAGGCAACAGAATATATACAGCTCCAGGAGGGACGCATGCAAAAAGGCAACAGAATATATACAGCTCCAGGAGGGATGCATGCAAAAAGGCAACAGAATATATACAGCTCTAGGAGGGATGCATGCAAAAGAGCAACAGAATATATACAGCTCTAGGAGGGATGCATGTAAAAGAGCAACGGAATATATACAGCAGTGCACATGTGGCATAGGCCCATCGCGGTAACCACCGGACAAGCATGCAAAGGACAGCAAGTGATGCGCACAACCACGCCCAACTCTCCAGGAGGGACGCATGCAAAAAAGCAAAGGAATATATACAATGGTGCACATGCTCTATAGATGCATCAATGGCTTCAGTCACTTGGGATGGACCCACCTCAAATGATAAGAAAATAAGAGGCTATGCAAGGGTACGAACCTACCTCAAACAATAGGAAAAATGAGGCTATTCAAGGGTATAAACCCACCTCAAATAATAAGAAGAAATGAGGCTATGCAAGGGGATGAACCCACCTCAAATAATAGAAACAATGAGGCTATTCAAGGGGACGAACCTGTCAGGCAGATACTGCCCTCTTACATGCATTCATTGATTGTGTGGAAAGTCCTGACAACGCAAGGATAGTGACGTCCTTCAAGCATTACCAACATGGAGCCGGTCTCGTAGATTGAGACCACTGGTGGAAGATTTCCCATCTTCCAGAATCTGGTTTTGCTCAGCCGCATCAATGACTTCTCCGCACACTGCGTTCGTGACCTTCATGACGAGCTTGTGGGCCACGGCAATGATCACTTGATCCTCATACTTGTCTATGCCAAGTGTAGTCTGGACTGAGGAGATAAGACTCTTGGGTAATGTCTTGTCATGCTCAATACATGCAGAAGCAACCTTGACTAAATCATTGCCATACGTTGAGTAGGCATCGTAGTTAACAACAGAATAAATCTTCTGCAGGGCCAGACGAGCAAACTCCATATGCTCCTCCTTCAGGAACCTCATATGTCCTTTGTCACGAATGGAAAGCGACTCCGGAATGCTGGCTTCATCTTTCTCTGAATTGCTGACGCAAAGAGAACGAAGCAACACCAGCTCATTCTCTTCATTTCCACTCAGTGATCCGGATGTCTGTGCAGAGGCTTTTCTCTTCAAACCACCAATGCAGGAGGACAGTGCCCAGCCAAAAAAGCGATGGTAGTGTGTATCTGTTAGGGGGACAGGGTCCAACTGGGCCAAGTTGTCCACAGGCTTCAGCACATGTTTTATCACACGGCAGCACTCCAGCCAAACTGCGGCACCCACAGCCATTACAATAGAGGTACGATCATTCTCGCCGAGTCCACATGATGTCACATCAGGGCTATCCACATTAGACTTGACTAAGTGTGACCATTTCACCTGGAAAGTGGAGTACTTGTCAGCTCTAGCAGAGCACTGGCCATATAGGTCCACGTAATTCTTCACAAGCAAACTACAAAGGGACTTCCAGCATCCGTTCGCCGTGAAACTCTGGAGACGTGCTGGAAACAGCACCATATGGCGCTCAGCAGAGACAATGCTGGAAACATCGCTGGATAACTGCTCCAAATCAATCTTCTCCAGGGCATGAATGATCGATTTCTTCTGCGATGCAGTCAAAGCTTTCACTTTTGCCTTTCTCCTCTTGCGACGAGCAGGAGCAGGAACAGGAGCAAGACCAGGGGCAGGAAGAGGAGCAGGAGTAAGAGTAGGATCAGGAGGGTTACACATGGTGGAGGACACCATCCCAGTTGAACTACTTGTACCAAAATGGGACTGAGGAGCAGGTTGAAGCACATCTACTTCGATCGGGTCTTCATGCCGTGTGCCAAGAGCTATTTCCATCAAATCTTGTAAATCTATATCCATGCCTATTCTTGCTATCCCGGAGTCACGAACTCTCCCAATACAATTATTACAAGCTTTTCAGACAACGAGCAGAGAAACTCTCTTCAAATAAAAAAATTCTGTGACCGTGAAATCAAAGCCGTTCTGCTGACACTGCATAGCCCGTGGAGCAAACGTTTTACGTGACACTTCCGTGGCTTGCTACCCCCGCCGGATGTACCAGATATCATGGCCCCATCCGCCCATGCTTGCCCGAGGACCGGATGACGCAATGTTTGGATTTCGTTGCGCCAGACCCCAACCAGGAGTTGCACACTCTGGGGGGTTATGGACTCTTGGTCGAATCTATATGGCTTAGGAGATGAGTTCATTGATGTGCTGGACAAGTGGTGTAGCCCCAACTGCAAGGAACTACTTGGACATACATGTCCGAGGACTAGCCAAGGATTAGGCAAGGACTAGGCAAGAACTAGCCGAGGATTAGACAGAAAACATGCGGGCCATGTGGGGAAATTGAAAACTGTTGCCAACTTTCCGTTGCCTTTGACGTCAGTGAAACTGAATCCTCATACTTCAAAATCAATTAAGAACTGAGTGGTTGGCGCTGGATTTCATGGATTTCCATGGAAGACATGAAATGATTTGCGACTTGACCTTTGGCAACCGTTTCACTTTGACATTTTCCTCCCAGCGCATCGCAGAGGAGAGATAGCACGACGTGTGCTCATGCCATCATGTCACCTACTTGTATAGATTGCATGTGCACCCAGGGACGGGGCAGGGGCGTCGCAACTCGTATTCTACATTGGTACGGGCATGGAAAGGCGGGCGGGAGGGGGAGGGTCCCAGGGCCCTCCCCGAGGAATGTTTTAGGAAAGTGGGGCCCAAATAGCCCATATTTCATTGTTTCAGAAATCACAGGATAAAAATTATTGGTGCCCCTTTGGCCGCACCCGCCGCACCGGTTCCTACACCCCTGGCACCTACTGACGCTATCCGCGCAGGCGAGCACCAAGCTATGAGCGCGCAACTGATGGAGGGAGCACTGTAGCCAACTGTTGTGTCATGTACTGACATAAGGAAGTGGTTTATTTTACAGACAGATGAGTGTAGATATAGTGAAGAGTCAGGGAGGCCATGCCCAGCAGAGCATGGTATCGTGCGTAGCACGGGGGTAGTGAGAGGTCACGTACCGTCTATACATGGCGACAGACAGGGGAAGGACTATGCCGTGAATGGGTGAAAGGCTAACATGATACAGGATAGGACATCTCCCCCTTTTTGAAAAAAAATTGAAGCGAGCAAAAACACAACAGCTGGGAAAAAAACTGTTATGGAGCAAAGGCAAGACAAATACATGTACGGGTTGTACATAGCCGGGCACATAGAACAGAACTATGCGATGTGCGGGAGAGCAATAGCAATAGCATGAAGCCAGAGAGAGAGTTACATGGTAGCGATCAATCTCTGCGGTGGCTGGATGGTGTTGCGAGCACGGAGAGTTGGCTGTGACGTAGGCACAGGCTGTTGTTGCGGGACTAGCGCGGCCGGTGGTACTGCTGGCACCGGTCCGGGAGGAGTCACTGGCTGGAGCAACTTCACTGCACGGCGGTTTCGGCGCAGAAGACCGGATGAGGTGGCGATGTTGTAGGAGCGATCGGTGAGTTGCTCAACCACTGTACCCTCGCGCTTGTCGTCGACCCACACTTTCGCTCCCAGTGGCAGAGGGGAGAGCGACTTTGCTGCGAAGCGTTGATCGAAGTGATCTTCTTGCCGATGCTTAGCCTCCTGCTCCTTGGCCCGGAGAGCGGTGATGTCTGGCCAGGAGGGTTGCAGGAGATCAGGTGGGCACGGAAGATTGGTGCGGAGCCTGCGGGGGTACAAGAGTTCGGCGGGCGAATAGCCGTTGGCCAGGGGTGTGGAGCGATACGCTAGGAGGGACTGCTGTAGATCACCTGGCGCACGGATGAGTCGTTTGGCAGTCTGCACGGCGCGTTCTGCTTCGCCGTTGCTTTGAGGATGCTTCGGGCTGCTGGTCCGATGCGTGATGTTGCACGACGACATAAACTGTGCAAAGGCGTCGGAAGCGAACTGTGGCCCGTTATCGCTGACGAAGATGTCCGGATAGCCGTGGGCAGCAAATATGCTCTTCAGATGAGTAATGACGGCCCGTGACGTAGTCGATGAGAGACAAGCGACATCAATGTAACGGGAGAAATAGTCGACGGTAATCAGGTACTGGCGGCCGTCGACATCACAGAGATCGGTGCAAGATCAAACCCAAAGGGCACCGTTGAACACTGCACCAGAACTTGTAAACAATAGCAGCACCAACCTTCGAATTCCGCTTCTATGCTCCCCCAGCGAACCTTTTCCAAGACCCTAGTCACGGAGATGCCGTGGAACACGTTGGCTTCCGCCATTCCTCCAGAGCAACCGGCATGCATTTTGCCACGACACCCTTCCCTTTCCGCAGGTTTTTCACATCCGAGACACCCACTCTGAACGCGCCCTTAAGAGGCTGCGTGTTACCATTGGTTACTTCGGGAACACGTCGTTTTGAATCGCCCCGTGTCACTGTACCTAATTACTATGAGCTGATACATGAATGCATCCCGCATTGTCAGTCAATAAAGTATTCATACATTGCTCTTGAAAGTACCCATTGAGAACTGAGCCACCAAGCGTTAGTAGAGACAGTGAGGGCAGCAGCAGCAGCAGCAGCAGCATAGGTAGGATAGTTGTTCCAAACTTGGCCTTACCTCCATACAGCAGGCGATGTCGAATTCAAGAGCATCCCTTGGATCCCCTCTGATAAGTTCCGGTTTATCAGAAAGAGCCATGCAGGCAAGGTCTGTACAGAAGGCAAGTGATCAAGCAGCACAATCACTTCACTTCCACTATCACACTCTGAGTCTCATACTTGCATTTATACCCGATACCGGCTCCACCCACTCACCATGCTCACTAAACTTGGCCGTAGAAGCATGTATTACATATTACACCCATTGGCCGACCGTTAGGGACCAGCGGATAATGCTCCGAAAATGTTCGCATAATGCTAATCTTGATGCTCCAAAAACTACCTCATAATGCTGATTATAATGCTTCAACAAGGGCTATAATGCTCTTGGCTTGGGACAGAGAGGAAGAAAGGCTGCACATATTCAATCTGCCGCCGAGTCCGGCGAAATACTTTCCACACGCTCCACCAACTTGTGGCACTAAAGACATATTCGATTCGCCACTGGCTGCTCTCCATTGCAGCTTTGACGCAGGGCTATGGCTGAATACAGTGAATAGCGTACGGTAACACCTGGGATAAGCGACCTCTGGGTTTAGCGACCACCTGCTCTTAGGCCCTAATCACACTGCGTTCAAGTCGCGTTTGCGTCTGCGTTTTCTTCGGTTTTTGACGATCGCCTAGGAAATGCCACCACGTGACGTTATCGCGAGCGCGTTGGTTTCCAGACGCACAGCTGCAGACGCAGACGCAAACCAGGGGGGAGGGGGGGTCAAAACCGAAACGCGTAAACGCAGATCGGACTTTCTTTATCGCAGCACTTCCGGCATTGTTTTTGAGTGTTTTCAAGTGATTCTCAAGTGTGCTTTTCAAAATCTTCATTTCCATCTAGTTGCTGAGGCCGGCGAGGGTACTTCTATTACATGTACTGATTGATTGATTTTGGATTCGCGAGGCATGGAGCTGATGCGAGCTCGTGGCTGAGGTTGCGCTGACTAGTTGGCGGCGGCTAGACTAGCTGGACGAGGTGCCTCAACAACGGGACTGCCACCCCAACACAGGCAACGCAACAGCTGCAGTCTTCCCATCGACTCCCATTCCCCCAGCACCACTGACAAAGGACATAGGAGCAGAAACAGAACACTTCTCGATCCCAGGAAAATAAATTCACCATCCACGGCCAGCTGGAGATCGATTCCCCACATTTTTGTATTTTTTGTATTTTCCCGCGCGCACAGATTTTGACGCAAACGCTAAAAATCACAAGTACATGTACTAGTATGATATCACGTCTTGCGTTTTCCAGTCTCAAACGCAAACGCAGACGCAAACGCGACTCAAACAAACGCAGTGTGATAACGGCCTTAACGACCGCTTTTCCATGCATGGACAGTTCTACACAGACGTGTACGCTTTTCGTTGGCTGAGAATTCGAAAGAAACGAGAAGCAATGTTCTCTCGAACTTCGAATATTTGCGAAGCTTGTTTTTTTGCTAACTGTATTATATTTGTTGTGGCACGCAGTGCAGGTTGACGTCACTGTAGTGACGTAATGATTGTTGAGCGAGCGCTGTGAAACAGCGCTTGCGCAAAAAGATTGTCCTTCTTTTTGTCTTGCTTGTCAAGGGCCCGCCCACCCGCCCTCTGTATATATATTTTTGCTCTGATTGTGAATGCGGTCGTTTCCTTGCTGTATCTTTTTGTACTGCTGATTTTATAAGTTCTAGTTGCTTAATTTTTGTCTGGGTGGTCATTCTGCACTAACTGTTGCTGTATCATTTTGCCTCAAATTCTGGCAACCCTGTTTTCCCCTTTGTGCGACGAAGATGGGATGGGATGGGTCATTCTGGGTCTTATTAACTATTACCATAGCTTTGTCAAGAACATCAGCTCCATTCTCGCGCCGTTGTACGAGTTACTGTCTGCCAAGTCTTGGCAGTGGTCCCAACGGCAGCAGAAAGCGTTTGACAAGGGTAAGTCGCTGCTGTCGTCTGAACCGGTTCGAACACACTACAATCCGTCACTTCCGATCGTAGTGTCTTGTAATGCCTCACCCTATGGTGTCGGTGCTGTATTGTCGCACTCCATGCCGGATGGTACTGAGCGTCCCGTTGCATTTGCATCCCAAACCCTGTCATCAGCAGAGAAGAATTATTCTCAACTGGACCGTGAAGGACTCGCTCTCGTGTTCGCAGTCAAACGGTTTCACAAGTACATCTATGGTCGCTCATTCGCCTTACAGACCGACCATAAGCCGCTGCTTGGGTTGTTCGCTCCTGACAAACCAACACCACCCCTGTCTAGCGGCCGTCTACAACGCTGGTCATTGTTGCTGTCGAGCTATGAGTACAGTCTACAGTACAAGCCGGGTCAAGCCAACGGCAATGCAGATGAATTGAGCCGACTGCCTCGTCCTGCTGATGGCCCTGAGCTCGAGCCTCCAACACCTGCTGAAGTTGTACTGTCCATTGACGTACTCAATTCCTCGCCTGTGACAGCAGCAAAAGTATCCAAGTGGACAAGCCGAGATCCGGTTCTGTCATTAGTCCACAAGTTTGTCGTGGAAGGTTGGCCGCAGAACGTACCGGACGACCTGCAAAATTACTGGCGTCGACGCGATGAGTTTTTCGTCCAAGCCGGATGTGTTCTGGTTGGCTCACGTGTCGTCATTCCTGCTCCTGGCAGAGAGTCGTTACTGCAGCAGCTGCACGATGGACACCCAGGCATCACGAAGATGAAAGCGCTGGCCCGCAGCTATTTCTGGTGGCCATCCCTCGACACAGAGATCGAACACACAGTCCGAAGCTGTTCATCATGTCAGGAGGCTCAGAAGTCGCCCAACCCCAGCTCTGTTCATCCGTGGGAATGGCCAGGTCGGCCATGGTCTCGCGTCCACATGGATTACGCTGGCCCTATTGATGGCAAGATGCTCTTGAATCTGGTAGATAGCCACAGCAAGTACATTGAAGCACATGTCACGTCTGGAGCGACATTGGCTATTACCATCCGTAAGCTTCACCAGTCATTCGCTAGTCTTGGACTGCCGTCATGTCTTGTGACAGACAACGGTCCTGCTTTCAGCAGCTCTGAATTCGCTGCCTATTGCCAGTCCAATGGTATCAAGCATACCCGTATTTCACCATACCATCCTGCCAGTAATGGTCTTGCTGAGAGAGCTGTGCAGACAGTCAAGAGCGGCATTCGCAAGCTCGCCTCTGGTGACTTAGAGTCACGGCTGCACAAGTTCCTGTTTATGTATCGTCGTACGCCGCATTCGACGACGGGCCAGACACCCTTCCAGCTCCTGTGGTCTCAGCGGAAGCCTCGCTCTTGCCTTGACCTCGTGTTTCCTAATATCGGTGCACATGTAGAATCCAAGCAAGCCGGCATGTGCGGTGGTCGTTCGCCATCGGCATCCGAGTTCCTGTGCGGTGATGCAGTTTGGGTGATGAACTTCACCTCGTCCCCGAAGTGGCTCCCTGGTGTTCTCGAAGAACGCTGTGGTCCATTGACCTTCAAGGTGCGTCTAGATGACGGTCGTCTGTGGAAACGGCATGCTGACCATGTTCGTCCGCGCATGCCAGTCGACAGTTCACCGGAATCTTCTACATCAGCTCCCGTCCGCCATGAACAGTCATTTTCTTATTCTCAGTCTCCTAGTCTGTCTTTGCCGACTAATCATTCTGCTACTGCCACTTCAGTTTCTGATTCTGTACTCGAGCCTACTCCTGCAGCACCTTCTTCTGCACTGTCTCCTGTACCTGCAGTTTCTATGAGTCCTGCTAGTTCTGTTGCTTCTAGTCCTGCTGCAGATAGTTCTTCCGCTGTTGTTCTGCGACGCTCTTCTCGTGTGTCCACTGCGCCTTAACGTCTTGATCTGTAGTGGCCGGTGGCACATCATTTCATACTGTTCTATTATGAACCTTTCTTTAGTCTCTTTCCAGTAGTTTTATCTAATGGTGGAGGGATGTGGTATCTGTACTTTGGAAGTCATTATTTATTGACTTCGCACGTGCTGCGTACAGTGCGTGCATGCATAGTTTCTGTGCTTGTTCTTTGGTTGTCGTTCTTCTTCTTGTTTCGTTCTGAAAGTGATTACCATGAATGTCCTCTGTTGAGTATTGAGTATTGTGTGAACCATAATACCCTTGAAACAAGGCAATGTGGCTGTTCGCAGCCGACCCCGCAATGTGGCTGTCCGCAGCCGACCCTGCACTGTGGCTTCACTGTTGCAAATGTGAGGTGTGAGGTGTGAGGTGTGAGGTGTGAGAGAGTGTGAGGTGTGAGGTGTGAGGTGTGAGGTGTGAGAGAGTGTGAAGTGTGAGAGAGAAACTCCGGGGTTTTACTGTATACCCGGATATACTATCCCGGCGACATTATCCGGCAGGGAGTAACAGTACAGGTGTAATGGTGTACTAGCTGTGCTAGTACTTGTTAGCAACAATCCGAACTAGCGCACACACTGCACTGCATTACTTTTAGTCCGTGAGCCAAAACTCAAAATCACAAGTGCCGTTGCACTCTCGGATGGACAAATCGCCGCTTACAGTGTTGGTCAAGGACATCACAAAGGATACGTTTTCGCTTGTTGGACGTTCCAGAACCGATCCAGAGACCTTCGCGAGGGCTTCTTTTCTCGACCAAATTCCACCTTGAGAACAAATATTTTTACGCGAGTGGTGAGGTGTGCGTCATATGAGCAAGCGCAAAACACGAGTTCGCGTGGAGTGAGGAAGAATAATTATTTTTTAGAAGATGACGACGTTGACGACAATATCGACTTGGGATATTGTGATCACTTTATTGAAGTTTATTCCTTTCGTGTACATTGATGTTGTTTTGACAACAATGGAAGAAGAGGAAGACGTTTCTAGTGGCAGCGAGGTGCTGGATGAGGCAGCTGACGGCAACGAAGTGGCAAATGACAGCCCAGCGGAGTAATATTGCTGGAATTTTGTGTCTGTGTCACAGCACCCAATTTAGTAAAAACGAGAAGCCTGCAGTGAGTAATATCGAGACTACAAGTTGGTGTCGCATCGTCAGCGCTGCTCGAGAGAAGGACGACCATATCTGGGCTTTTCTGTGCCAGCACAAGAGCTCAGGGAGGAGTA